TTCTTCATCTACCTTTAGTGAGTTTGTCTGAACTTTGCTTTTAAAGGTGCCAAAATGTTGTTTCATTTGGTTAGACTTAGTCGCATGTTTGTCCTCTTCTACTCTGAGCATTAGAAGTAAGTCAGGAAATGATGGGGGTTTGTCTTTCTTCTGCTCAAGCTGCAGACTAGTAATAATACTGTTATCCCAACAGCCTCTGCAGAATTGTTTGAGCAGTTGTCGATCTGAGTCACTGGCAACCATGCCACCTCTTTTCACTACTTTGTTCAGAGCTATTTGTAAACGTTGAAAGTACTCGGATGGCTTTTCTCCTGGATTTTGATTGGTGTTTAAAAACTTTGCGAAAAGTTCATCTCCATCGTCGACTGTTTCAAATGCTGAATCAAGGAGGCATATGTAATCGTGAGGAGTTGAATTTGGCCAAAGGTGCCTTACAATGTTAGCAGCGGGTGGGGCGAGGCTCTTAATAATTTTTCTGACTTTTTGCTGATTAGTTACATTGGGATCAGCAAGGTAAAATGCAACATTGCTGCGCCATGCGTCATAATCAGATTCATGATAGGAACATGGGATGTTTCCTGACAAAGGTCGAAGTTTGACATGCCCATGTGAAGGTGAGTCTGGATTGTTTATAACATGCTCCACGACTACCTTTTGGACTTCTAGAGTAATGAGCTGTTCAGAACTCAAACGTACTGTCCGTTTCCTAGGCGAAGCAGATGCTCCTGCGCTTGTAATGGACAGCGGTATGTTGTTAAAAGGTAGGTTGTTTGAAATGTCATCACCTCTAGAAGGAGGGCTTTCATTTACGTCCTGTTCCAGTAAAGCTACATTGTTAGAGGGCTGTGGTTCTTGAACTGCAGCTGAGTGACCCCAGGATTAGTAGTAGACTTTTGGATTCGAGCTAACTCCTCTAGCAAGACGTCTTCAAAGCTAACACCACCACATTTAGCCATACTTTGAAGGTCAGTGAGGTAATAACCAGTAAGGCTAGAACCTCTGTCCGTAGTATACCATTTCGCCAACAACTCAATGTGATGGAAAACATTGGGATTGCTGCTGGGTCTATCACATGGTAAACTATCCTGTAAGAATTCAATGGGTTCACCTGATTTGAATTCGACAATGGCAGAATCTTTAAATGGCACATCGTGACTGGTTACTTTAACAACCCTTTCTACAGAACCAATCTGTGCTAAACACTCAAGTACCTCATTGTCTAGCACAGCACCAATAATAGGTTTCACTAAAACAGAGTTGGGCACTTTAATATTTTGTGTCTCAATAACTTCCATTCTCAATGGTGGTTACTTTCAAAATGTTACAGGTGAAGCAATAAACCAGTTGCTCAGAATGATCGGAAATATTTATATTTCCTACTTTGTCTCCTGGCTGGCTCGCCAAGTTTTGTGTAGCACCTATAGAGGGGACTAGTCTTAGTCAGGTACTAGACATCTACTAGGCTCTATCTACAAAGAGAATTAGGATAACCGTCCGAAAGTTGAACAACGGTGATTTATTGCTTCACCCAGCATACAAAAAAAAAAAAAAAAAAGAATGTGCGTTTACAATATTTTCTAAGTCAAATACAATACCCAAATTAAAAGAGAGCTCTTTTCCCAAAAAATAAATAAAAATAGATGTTAATCTTTAGAATTCAGTTCTTGAGCAACATTGCTACCCGGGTAGTGTTTGTGTCTTATCTGTAGATCTATATGGATTTTTCCAGTTCGTGAAGGTTCCTCTGCGAAAGGATGTCTAGGCTGGCCACACTGTTTACACCTGTCCGCAGTCCATCTGGGCTCGGCTCGCCATCACGTTAAGAATCCAGAGTCACTATAAAACCAATCGGGATCTCCACAAGCTAGCTCTCCACAAACAGTCGCCCACAGATGACTCACAAGGTTCCAGCCTGTTCACAGTATATTATCAATAAAATATTCAATAATATCAATTCATACATCACTATTTTCTGCTACTTACTCGCTCCGTTCAGTGCACAGCCAACACATGTGCTTGGAGGTGAAAAGTGAGTATGTTGCACGTCTATAGCCGTCTATAGCTCAGGTTTCAGAAGGTGTAACCTGCACCCTGGTGGGCATTTGTGGTACTACAGTTCAGACAACAAACAGGTTTAGTAGCCCAATACTTCTCATGGGTTACAATATGCACTAGAGGTGTGGACTCGAGTCACATGACTTGGACTCGAGTCAGACTTGAGTCATTATTTTAATGACTTCTGGCTTGACTTGATAAAATCTTTAAAGACTTATGACTTGACTCAGACTTGAAAGTCAATAACTTGCGACTTGAATCAACTTGCATCTGTTGACTTGATGATGACTTGAGCAAATTTGATATTTTAGCACAAAAGTGGCATGACATGGACAAATATCATGAATCATTCTTGGTTCTGGGTTTGATCTTGTACGGCTAAATGCAGCAGCTCTTTTTTATAATCAACTTCAGTTGCACTTTCTGCTTGATTGAGCAAATAAATGAAGCTTTAAGAAGCTTTATTTCTGGAATTTATTAATTATGTTTGTAATTAAATTGAAGTTGGACAGACGACTTGATTATGACTTCAAAATTCAAAGTTAAGTACTTGGACTTGACTTGGACTTCCACATCATTGACTTTGGACTTGACTTGGACTTGGTTGTCTTTGACTTGACTGGAAAAACTTGTGACTTACGTAGATAGATAGATAGATAGATAGATAGATAGATAGATAGATAGATAGATAGATAGATAGATAGATAGATAGATAGATAGATAGATAGATAGATAGATAGATAGATAGATAGATAGATAGATAGATAGATAGATAGATAGATAGATAGATAGATAGATAGATAGATAGATAGATAGATAGATAGATAGATAGATAGATAGATAGATAGATAGATAGATAGATAGATAGATAGATAGATAGATCCTTTATTCATCTCATAGAGAAATTCACAGTGCAAGCGGCAAATACATAATGAGTCAATGAGACTTCTGCACCTCTCAGCAGGTATTTTGGCCCACTCCTCATGATCAAACTGTTCTAGTTGTTTCAGGTTTGAAGGGCGCCTTTTCCAGACGACATGTTTTAGCTCCTTCCAAAGATGTGCAATAGGATTGAGGTCAGGGCTCATAGAAGGTCACTTTAGAATGGTCCATTGTTTTTGTCTTAGCCATTAATGGGTGTTGTTAGCTGTGTTGTTTGGGTCATTGTCCTGTTGCAAGACCCATTATCTGCAACTGAGACCAAGCTTTCTGACACTGGCCAGAACATTTCTCTCTAAAATCCTTCGATAGTCTTGAGATTTCATTGTACCCTGCACCAATTCAAGACACCCTGTGCCAGATGCAGCAAAGCAGCCCCAGAACACAATAGAGTCTCCTCCATGCTTCACAGTAGGGCTAGTGATCATGTTTCCGGCTGTGAATATTGAGCTGATGTCCTTGGCAAAAAGTTCCATTTCTGTCTCATCTGTCCAGGACATACTACCTTTGTGGCATGTCAATATGTAGTTTACATATTCCAGTTTGGCATTTTAAGATTTGTGGGGGGGGGGGGTTTTCCAGCAATCTGTTGTCCTTTGTCTATGTGTATTTCCGTGTATATATGGAGTAAAACTATGGAATAACCTGGGTGATGACCTGAAAAAAATATTTAACTCTTGATCAATTTAGGAAACTTTATGAAGAAAAAACTTATAAAATCCTATGATTTGATAAGTAAATATTGAAAAAGGATATTAACAAGTTTTTACTGATATATCATTTGCAAAGAAAAGAAAGTCAAATACTTGGTTTGTGTATAAGGTGCATAAATTATTTTGTAATATTTTGCTGAAGCATGGTTGAAAAGCAATGTCTGACCTTCATTGTTTAAATTTCATAGATTTTTTTATATTATGACTTTTGTCAGACTAAAGTTATTTCATATTGTCCACATCTGTAGGTAATGTAAACAAGCCATAGCCCAGACTTCCCTCTCCCCAGCCATGTGGGCCAGCTCCTCCGGGTGAATCCCAAGGTGTTCCCTAGCCTGCCGAGAGACATAGTTCCTCAGGCATGGTCTACCTTTGGGTCTCCTCCCGGTTGGACGTGCCCGGAAAACCTCACCAGGGAGGCGTCCAGGAGGGAACACATTTTTTAAATTATTAAAATGCAATTAATCGAGATTAGTCAATTATTTCCACCCCTGGTAAAAACAAATATTACATAATCACTGAAGCTCCCAAGGGGCCACCCAACTGACCCCCCCCCCCCCACCCCCCCACCCCCCGAAATTTTAATGGGACCACCACTGTACAGAGTAGTTAAAAATTACTTGAAATTTGATGTGAGACTATATAGAACCAACCAGGTACTGACTGCAGCTGCTTCCCTAAAATCATTAATTTACATTTAAATCTAAATATGATAAACCATCTGATCCTTCAGTGATAACACTCCATTAAATGTGTGTGAAACTCCAAGCAGGACGCTGACACTTGACACAGATAGCCAAATTACATTTGAGATTACATAACATTACAGGATCCATTTCTATCAGGGTTGTTTTAGTTTAAGAGCTAAATAGTTCCCCTGCTAAGTCTAAACCTCTGAGTCCACAGGTTAATGGACCAAAAAGTCTTGTTTGTTCCTATTGATTTGTGTGTTTGTGGTTTTTATTGTATTGTATTTTATTTACATCTAATAAACACTTTTAATGTGCTCATATCTATAAAACCCTTGGTGGTCTTCCATACTAATGCTTCCACTGGAAGAGAAAACTGGTTCTTCAGTTACACAGATAAAGTACATTTTTCTTTTAACATATGAAGATAAGAGCAGCTACAGTTCCAAATGCTCACCTAACCCATCGACAAAAAGCAAATATTTGACTTTTCATTAACAGAAACAACACGTTCTGATGAGCAGATTAATAACTGAGACAGTTTGTTGAACAACAGTGACACCCTCTGGCAACAGCTGATGAAACAAAACCATGAACCGGTAAATAGTGTATGACAATAAGGCTTTATTTATCAGGGGTAAATAATAGGTGACAGATGAGAAGCCACTGCACAAGCCTACAAATCACTGATTTATGTGCAAACATACTCAGTAACCGCACAGGTGAATAAGTTTTCCTTTGCAATACATCTACGACTAGTAAAGTTACATGCAGATGTACTATCTTTATACATATAAAAGGTCTGAGTACAGGTTTTTGGTGTTTGCCATTTCACTGAGCTTACAGTTCTCTCCTGAAGTTCTGACAGAGAAAATAGGCAGGCAGATGTGTGGAAAAAATGACGAACAATTTTGCTGATGGGAATAAAAGAATCAAAAAGTTTAATATGAAAAGTTGTGATTACTTAAAAAATAATAATCTGAAAAACACGGTTTCTTTGAGGCCCTGGGTGCACAACTAGATGCTTTTTTTTAATCACAGCAACATACGGCACGTTATTCCTAGTTCTAGTTTCACAGCGTCTCATTTACAATATTTGGATGTTTTAAATTAACGATACAATGTGAACAGGCCGTTGGAAAAATAAACTGTAAAATTTGGCACAAAGTGGTGACAAGGCCACTATATCTGAAATATCTGGTGGTTAATGCAAAATAATAATAATAATAATAATTCTATTTCTTCACAGTTGTAGGATCAGAGGTGGAATGACAAAAACCAATTTTATGTATTTACATCCACAAAAACTCAAGTAAACATGGAACTATATTCTGTATTAATATAAAACTAATTTAGGAAAAAATCATGAGTTTAATTCAATAAAATGAACTATAAAAGGCACCCATAATAACAGAGTAAGACAAACTCTCAATGAGAAACATCCTCACCATCTTAGCATTCGTTATTTATCTGCTACACAAAAAACTAAACTTTAAAAAATATATATTGAAGCCAGGTGTGGAAGAGCTTGTGACACATGAGATGCTCGCTGGATCTGAGCCTGCTCAGACTACATTTTATAGATATCGATGGATAAACTATGAGGCGGCCATGCTTGATCGGGCTCCAGTCAGGCCCAACCTGGCCTCGTCTACATTTATCACTGTATCATACAGCCTAGAAGCTAAAAGTGTTGACGTCAACACTAAAAATCTACTCTTTGTCCTGTTGTTGTATGGCCACACACTAAAAGAGAGTTGTGCATGTGGACAATCAATCCATATATATTATATATGCATATATACAGAAAATATACGTGGTGTCTTTGTCTTCTTGTCTTACAAGAGCAGGCTTCAGAGAACTCTGGATCTCTTGCTGGCCAGTGAACCATGCTAAAAGAAGAAAGACACCAGTCACTCCAAGGGTCAAAGGTTAGAGCTTCTCTAGTAATAATCAGGGCAGAATATTGAGTCCAAAAATATCGTAGTTTACGTTTTGACTAACCTTTGCTTGCTTGTAAAAGTGTGGAGCTAACTCAACAAGCCAGGATGACTCAACAGCGGTCACATCGCGCATGTAGTATTTTGATGTTTGCACCACCTCGTTGAAGACAACCCTGGAAAAAAAAGCAACAAAACGAGGTTCAATCAGGGTTTCTGCAGAACTTTGAAACAAAAAATGAAAGAACTTTGTTTCCTTGAGCGAATGCATATTTCATTTTGAGTGGTTTGTGGGAAACCTCCACACTGAACGCATAAAAGATACCAGACATTACAGCCAGATACTGACCACTTTGGAGGTTTCTCTCCGTAAAGCACAGAGTTTGGGTGGATGTGGAGCTCAAGATCGTCTCGTAACGTCCTAAAAACACAAAAGTACAGCAGAATGTAAAAAACAACATTTTAAACTGCAAAACACCAAAACAAAGGCAGATAAAACCCGACTTGCTCTCTCACCGGTAGGAACCAGAATGGTGGATACGGGCAGCGTTAGCAAAAAATCCAGAGACAATGCACCTCAGGATCACATCTGGGTCACCTGCAAAGACAAACATTCCCAGTTTCTCGCCACATCCAGTGAATCAAGCCTGATGGACGTACCCTCGCTGGAAGTCCGGGGCACTTTGAACTTGTTCATGAGCCGTCTAAGCTGCTCTCGCACCGTCATGGCACGCAGCAGACCCTTGTAGTTAAGAAAATGTTCCTGACACCACTGGGAGCTCTTCTGGTGCTGCAGGAAAGACAGAAAGAAATGCCACAGCCTTCAGCAGATCCCGCTTTAGGTTATTCAAGTTCATATGCACACATGCTATACCTTAATAAATGCTTCGTACACGTTCAGCATGGTGAGGTGGTCTCCCTCTGCAACTGCAAACTTCCTGTGCTCGCGAGCCTGCAGAGTGATACATAAAAAAGGGTGATTATTATGCTGATAAAGAATTTCTGACCAAAAAACTACATCATGGTCCCTTTAAAATTGTCTTACAGCAACTTTCTTCTGATTGGGTGGCACAACAAATATATTCTGGATCTGCATCATTGCTGCTATGGTAACGATCTCTTTGGAGCAGCCAAAGTTTCCAGACTCAAGAAGCATCTTTGCAAACATGGGGGTGAGAGGGAACTCGGCCATCCGTACACCCATGGGGTCAGTCAGACGGCCGTACTGGTCCAGACCTGCGACAAAGACGTTAAAGATACGGATTCCTGTAAACAAACAACTCAGCTCGTCTGCATTAAACAAGTCATCATGATAATGACCGCTCATGTAGCTGAAAGCTGGTTTCTTATTATGTTGATCACCTGTCTGACCACGGTAACATACTTACCTCCAAGAGCGT